ACCTCAAGCTGCGTCCCCCCAGCCATGGCCACCTCCCTTCCCTCTCCCCACTGAAGCACGCGGGGTACGGCCACTCACCTAGGGACGGGGACACCGCATACCTCCAGCCGTGGGGAGCTGCGGGGGGACTCCCTTGACCTCCTTCTCTTGCCTGGCCACCAAATTACCCCACGGGCTGCTGGGCCGGCTGCCCCGGCTGCGGCCAAGCCACCGCCGGCGCGCTGCGGCGCGCATCCGAGAGCGTGACGGCCGGGCACGGGTGTGCGAGCGTGCGGGTGGGCGAGCCTATCTCCCAGCCCCAGCACCGCGGCTGTGCCGCCCGCCGGACCGATAACCGGCGGTGGGGTGCCGGCTAGGGCGGGCGTGCGTGGGTGAGTGGGTGGGTGGGTGAGTGAGTGGGTGGGTGGGTGCCGCTCGCCTCTCCCCACCTCTACTGCTGGCTCAGTCCCTTTCCGAACAAGAGAAGAATTAGCCGGCATCATGACGAAGCAGTATTCGCTCCCGCTGCTGCTCGCTCCCGCTCCTACCGCTTTCCCGGCACAAAGAGGGAGGAAAACATAAATAAACCCGGCGCTGTCTGGCTGCCAGAAATAACCCGGCCGGTGCCGGGGGTCCCCAGGACCCCTGTCCTCCAGCCCCTGCCGCATATGGGGGATGCAGTTGGGGACAGCATCCCCTGCCCCTCCCCTGGCTGGACTTTTAACCCCCCCCCAAGCCCCGCAGTGCTGTGAAAGGGGGGCTGAGCACCCCACGGCGTGTGGGCTGGGCTGCGGCACGGTGGGTGGTGGGTGAGGATGGCACCCCCTCCCTGTCCAGCCCGACCCCCAGCCTGGGTTTGGGGGTTCTCCACGGGCAGCACCTACCCCTCGCTGCCCTGGGAAGGGAAATACAGCAGGAATTTCCATCTCTGGGGCCAACAGAGCCCAGTGAGCGACTGGGAGGTGCTGAGCATCTGCTAAAAATCTAGCCCTGATCTCTGCAGATGCTGCCCTGCCCCTTGGTAATGCCAGGGAGAGCCCAGAGCCAGGCAGTGGGGAGAACCAGTGCCCCTTGCGTCCCGAGCCCCCTGGGTCCTGGGGGTCACGGTCCAGCCCCTGCCTTTGGGCAGAGCCCCCAGGGTTTGGTGGTGGGGCTGGCCGGGCACCCAGGGCTGGACTGGGAGGCAGCGGCCGCTCCCCGTTCCCCCCCAGAGCCCCTCGGCACACGGGCCTGGCTGAAAACCCAGGCGGCCGGCATGGGACCGGTGCCACAGCTGGACCCCCCCCTCCGGGGGCGGCGAGGCTGCGTTGGTGCCGCAGCGCCAGGAGCCAGCGTCTATTCCCGGCTCTGTGTGGGAGAGAGCTGCTTGGTGACAGCAGCTCCGTTTCTGGGTCCTCTCCCTGGCGTTACATCCCATGCTGTTTGCTGCCTCAGTTTCCCTCCTGGCTCAAGTGAGGGCCGCTGGACCCCCTGGATGCACATCTGGAGGGGGGGCATGCACGCCCAGGGATGCACATCTGGGGGGATGTGTGCCCAGGGGATGCATGCACACGCCTTTTGGTGCCAGGACCAGCCTGGATCGTTGGACCAAGAGCATCACGGCCTCAGCCCCGAGATGCTGCCGTGGCCCCACATGGAAGGGGCTTCTCCAGCCCCAGCCCCGCCGGGAGCCCCCCCCGGGGCTGTGCCTATGAATAATCAAGGCTGTGGCTGCCTCCCCCATGCTAACCCAGTTTCTCAAGCATGAAGACGACTGCAGCGGCTGCTCGGCGGCCACCACCTGTGCCCGGGGCCGCTTGGGTACCCGAACCTGCCGTGGTACCCGCTGTGGGCTCAGCCCCCCGCACCACAGCATCCAGGGGTGTCCGGAGGGAGGGAGGAGTTTGGAAACGCACGTATCCCGCACCAGCCAGGCACCACGCATCAGTTCTTATACCTTCGCGTGCATCCACTGAAATCCAAGCCCGGCCACGCTCGCCGGAGCCTCCCCCCCGTGTGCCCACCGGCCCCACAGGGTCACCCCTCATCCCGGCGATGCCCTTCAAAGCCAGGCCCAAGACAAGCAGCTGCCGGTCCCTTGCCGGGGGGGGCTGCTGGGGGGCTAGGGCATGGGGGCAGAGGGTAGCAGGGCCCTACCTTCAAGGGAGCCCATGGCCCGCTGCAGGCAGGTCTGCTTGTCCGCCGGGAGCCATGCCTGCGCTGAGCATCCCCTCCCCTGCGCCGCACGGCACGTTGCTACAGCGACCGCCTCCCGCCGCAACCGGCTGGTGCCGAGCGATGGAGGATGTGCAGGAGGATCCTTCGGCCTCACCGAGCGATGGAGGATGTGCCAGAGCCTCTTTGGGCTTCACGGAGCGATGGAGGGTGTGCAGGTGCCTCCTTCGGCTTCACCGAGCGATGGAGGGTGTGCAGGTGCCTCCTTCGGCTTCACCGAGCGATGGAGGGTGTGCAGGTGCCTCCTTCGGCTTCACCGAGCGATGGAGGGTGTGCAGAAGGATCCTTCGGCCTCACTGCCCTTGTGGGATGGGGGCGAGGAGCCTTCCCACAGCCCTGGGTGGGGGGGATGCAGCCCCTGCGCGCTGCTGCGAGGCAGCTGCCCGACCCAAAATTGCCCCCGCTGCCCCGCTGCTGGGGTTGCAGGGGGCATCGCCCCGGGGGAGCCTGCGCGCCCTGCGAGGGCTGGTCTGGATACGACCCGTGTCCCAGGGGACACCGGCCCCTGCCACCCCAGTGATGCCCCAAGTCCAGATCACGGGAGACACTGTCAGGACTGGGACACTGTGGGGTACGAGGACCACGGGACTGGGGATGGCAGCGGGGTGTGGGAGGCTGGCACCCATCACCTCTGGGGTCATGGCTGTGGGGAGCTGCCCTCGCTGGCTGCAAACCCCCCACCCAAGCATCCTAAGCCCCCCCCCTCAGTATGCCAAGGCCCCTGAGCATCCCTATCCCACGGGAGAGCAAAGCCTTGGGAAAGGCTGGGCACGCTGCGGCGGGGCGAGACACCCTCCAGTGCACTTTCTGCACAGAGGACATTCCTGTCCCCACCTCCACCCCCCGCCCCAGGTCTCACCTCAAAAAACAAGAAAGAAGCAGTGTGAGGGTTTTTTTTTTTCTCTCTTCCCTGGCCATAATTAAAAAGGACTCACCCTTCCGAGCCCTTTCTATCCCGGGAGGTCGAGAAGAAAGAGAGGGGAGGAAGGGGAAAACCGTGAAAGAAAAGAGACGAAGGGCTTGGGAAGGAGAAGAGAAGGCGGTGGAGGGGGGGGAAAGGGATGGGGAAAAATTAAAGCGGAGATTACACAAAGGGAACTCCTCTACCTTTGAAGCTTTGGCTAAATTGGGGAGGGGGCGGCGGGGGCAGGGAGGGTCCGGACCCAGTTGGCCCCTTTCTCAAAGCCCTCTCCTTTCAAGAATGTCTCGAATTCCTGCGGAAACAAGGAGCCGGGGTTGTGGGGCCGAAGGAAACGGGAGGGGAAAAAAAAAAAAATTACTCCGGCCGCTTGGCTAATTCCCGCCTGCCACACCTGGGCAGGCAGTGCCGGGCGCATTGTTCGCCCGTAATTGCTGGGTGTTGCATTTCTCTTCTGCTTTAAAGCTTCATTTAACTCAAACTGTTATAATTTTCTCCCTTCTGCCCCCCCCAGCCGTGCTCCCCCCCCTGCATTATGCTAGCGGGGCTTTGTAGGGGCTGGGTGAGCCCCAGTTAACGGATTACATCCTCCCCACAGTCCGGCTGCCACCTCCCAGGGTATTGTCAGAAGGGAAAGCAATTATAGGGAAGGTGGGACGGCACGGGCTGGGGGCACCGAGCTTGGGGCCTGGGGGGACAGCCCGACCAATGGCCACCATGGGGTGGGCGAGCCGGTGGCCCTGGGCTGGGGGAGCAGTGGGTACCACCCCGGGTACCACCCCAAGGGTGATGCCCTGTTCACCAGGATGCTGCAGACACCCCCAGAACACAGACCTGGGGGGCACAGACAGGGATGGGGACACAGGGACTTGCCTACAATGGTCACCTTCATCCTCCTGCCATCTCTCCCCGAGCATCGGGTGCTTGCACCCTGGGTTGGTGAGGACACCCTGTGCCAAGGTGGAGCTGGGTGGCCCCCCATTCCAACAGGCACGAAGCCAGTGGCAAAGCCTCAGCACGGGAACGAAAACTCCCCCAGGCCCCATCAGTCTAGACACTCGCTTTTATTTGCCTCGGGGTTTCCTCCTTTACACAAATAAACTCCAAAATCTAACCGTTTAGGCCTAAAACTGACTGGTAAAGGAAACAGCAGAACTCGTAAAAACACGCATATAACCAATCGAAAAATAAAAATAACCTAAAGGTGGTTTCTCTTTGGCCAGCAGAGCCTCACGGGCACCCACACGCGTCCCCACACTGCCAGCACCGTGGTGCCACCGGGAGAGGGCACAGACCTTCCTCTCCAATAAATAACGCAGAGACCCCATGGCTGCAGGGATACAAGTGCTGGCCCTGGGGTCTGCATGCCCGGGCACCCCCCGCCTCCCCTCCAGAGCTGCACAGACAGACCGACGGACAGACCGGCACCCCACACTCCCCATCACCTGGCTGCCTGTGGTGCCCCTGCCATCCCTCACAGGGACGGGCACAGCATCCCGCTGACCCCAGGGCTGGGGACAGGCTCTCCATCCCGCTCCGGAGGGGATATCCCACAGTCTCGTGGCCAGTCCCATCCATCTCTGGCACTGAGAGCCAGGTCTGTTGGGGACGGGAATGTGTCCGGGGGTCCTAGCCCTCGGTGGCATGGGGACAAGTCTCCGAGAGGCTGCCAAGGGGAGTGGGCAAAGGCACTGGGTGGTGAATGTGGGTACCATGGGATGCTCCAGGGATGAAGGGACCCTGGTGTGGGGCTATAAACACCAGTGACCGTGCCCAAAGAGTGTGCTCCCCAACCTATTTGTGGTGCCCAAGAGAAGTATAAAAATAGAGCATCTTTCAAAAAAGAAACGGGGAAGAAACAGTGCTGGAGGGTGCCAGGAGAAGGGGCAGAGTCTGGCGAGGCCAAAGGCCGTGAGGATGAGGAGGGCAGGGCCCGGCGGAGGGCCAGTCCAGTGGCTGCCGGGCGTTACGTGCGTGGGCGAGGGGCACGGGTGCGACGGGTCCGGCGGGTGGGGGAGGACGAGCCGACGAACTCGAACTGCTTCTGCCGCTCGGCGTTGTTGGGGAAGGGCAGCTGCCCGCGGTACAGGCGCTTGATGAAGTGGGCTTCTCGCTGGTTCTGGCGGCTGCGGGAGGCTTTGCGGGGCCGACCTTTGCGGGTA